TCAACTCATTGATTATTCTCATTTATTCTAATTATTAAAATTTGTTTCTCTATTTTCAAATCCATATCGATTCTTGCACATAAAAAGAAAACAATAGTAGTTATAACCATACCCAATGTTCAAAGAGAAACATTTTCACCATTATGTTTCCGGGGTTGCAAACTGAAAAGGATTGAAAATTATAAGTGTAAACAATGACAATGAAAGCGTAAATGAGACCACTAATATTACGTGTAAAGAAGTTTTCCAAAACTTGTAAAATCGAGTTCATCTTTCCATTTTATAGCATATATATTGTATTAAACATTTAAACTAACATTTTATTTTGCTATAATTGTTTCTTTGTTTTTGTATTTTTCTAAATTACTCTTAGGTGCATAATAATTTCTATGGAATTAACATTTTATATTATTAAAAAAGTTTTCAGTGTGTACTCTTTTAAATTATTCATTGTGATTACTATTTGAACGAAATATTCCACCATTGCACCACTAGTAATTAACAAATAATGAGAACATGGAATTAATACTAAATAATGAAATTAATAATAACAAATCACAACCAAATTGATGCTAACGTAACTTATGCTCACAAATGAAAAATCAAAACTTACCAATAGCAAATCACATTAATAATAAATGTTAAAAATGGCCAGTGACTCGCTCAAATAAGAAGTAAACCTAAATTTAATTTATAAAATTAGAATTATATAAAGCTGAAAGCCTGAAAGTGTGAAAGTATAAAGAATAAAGCCATTAAATCCCTTTCTGGAAAGTGGAGGCCTAATTTAAGGAAATCTGGAAATAAAAAGTATGACAAAATTAAACAATTAAAAACCTACATCAAATCTGAAGAGACGAACAGCAGATGCTGCAGAACTACAGAGGCGCGGGAGCAGTCGAGCAGAGACCTAGCGGCTAGCGAATAGAGGCGCCGTGCGACGACGGCCGACCAGCGACCGACGTTATGTGTGAGACTGTGAGTGCGTGACCGACAGTCGAAGAGGAAGAGCCGTCTGAGATGCGCCTCTTGGACTTCGAGCAGCAAAGCGGGCGTTGCTTAGGGCGTGTGAATGTCTTGTCATTAGGGCCATTTTCCTATTTGCGGGCTTTGGACTGGAGTTCCGGACAAGCCCGATTGCTCTCGATGTCAGACTGCTTTTTTTAGGGTGGACCTGATTTTATTATACTTCCACCGTATTAAAAGGGGAATTCTAAATACAGCCCTCCTTTTACTAGATAAAGCCACTTTTTTTCGATAATCAATTAAATTAATCTTTAATCCCTTATATACCCTTATTCTCTATTACAACCCATTTATAACCTTATCACATCGGGATGACTGGCTGCGTAGAAGAATTCTTCGACAAAGATGAAGTACAAAAACAGAGGCTTAGCTAGATGGGACTACCTTTTTTTTCTCCCGATCTTGTCCAACCATCTGAAAGGATGTTTTTGGCCGTGAATCTCCCCTCCCTTGAATATGAACAACCTGTTTTTTCTTCACTTGGCAGATGAACCTGAGCAGAGACACCTAGCTAGTTTTTCAATTTAAGTTCCCGATGCTCTCGGAAATTAGGAAGCTGAGGGAGAAAACCAAAGCAAAGCTTCTTCACTCCTGTAATTTTGTAGCTCTACATCTGGTCTTATTATTCAAAAATGGGGCTTGGTCAAACTGGCTTTACACGCTTCACTGATTCTAGGCAAACTTCATCAATTTGACGTTTTCAATTCCTTGTAATTTATTCTACGAATTTTAAAACAAAAATGCATATAAATAAGTTTACGGTATATACTTGACTCAGTAATTTCTCCCTATTTATTGATGAAAGGTATGAGTTAGATTCATTGATCAATCCAAATTGAAGGAAGATGTACAATTAAATTAAACATATTACTGATCTCGTGTTTCAGAGCCTTACTACTACAGAGCCTTGATTGAACGACGACACGATGAGTGCTTTTCTGTATATAATGACGTACGAGTCAAAGCAACTATAATCGTGTTAGTATAATAAGGGTAATCTTGATATTTAATTAATTTTATTAATTTATTTTTATTTTGGAGGCTGTGCATAGCAATTTTAGGGCTGTCAATAGAACTACCCGTATTAAAATGGTTTGTACAATACCGTAGGATTTTACACAAAATTTAAGAGAAAATTAGTAGGAATAATGGAAAGTGTGTAAAAAATATGGAGCATGACGGATACTGAAAAAATATGAAAGAGATGATTAAGAATGTCTTTACTAGAATTGTATACATTAAATGTGAATATGGTTTTGCATGTATGAGAGCATACTAATCATCATAGATGTTAGTGTAGTACAATTCTATAAACGCATAAATCATGGATACATAGAAGTCGAGAGTACTTGTCCGACAGAACTAAGAGGTGCCATTTTTCTCTTCTGGGTTGAATCTCAAATCCTAATTATCTCGAGTCGGATCGAGTATTTTTGGGATTTTGTACTTTAATCTCCTTTGGGATGAAACTACTCTAAACTATTCCCCTGAATTTGCTCATTTTCATATTTTAACACACACCAACATTTATATAATTTAGAGCTCATCTAAATAACTTTCCACAATGAGATCAGTACAATTTAAAATAATATAAATAGATTGTTTTAATATAATACAAATAGATTTATTTACTCATTTTTTAAGAAATATCTTTCACAAATATATTACAATCATTATATATACACATTCGTATATTTAAAATATTTGTCAATTAGAGAAACTCAATCGACCTAGATGTAATACAGGCTGTAAAGTACAAAAACTCTAATAACTAAGGTAAATTACAAAATTTGATCAAATTTTCATTCAAATGCTGCTAGCGAATACCATGAAAATTTGACCTTAACTTTTTTCAAACAATTAGAGTTTATTCAAAGTTTAGGAAATCAGAAAAAAAGTGGATATAGCACTATTAGTGAGAGGGGGGGCGTTATTATTTATCAAATTAAGTGTCAAATTTGCTAGTGATTACACTTTTAAGAGATCACTAGATAGAAGTAATAGAACATACGGACTACGGAGGATATGATTTATGTCACGATTCGATAGTACTCCGTATATATTACTTGTTACCATTTGATTCGTTTATTTCTCGATCTTTGGCATGGTACTACAATCTGTTTGTCTTTGGTATCCATCCTATCATGCTCACATTTCTTTTAAATTGTTAACTTCGTGCTAATGCCACTTATTGAAGTCATAATATGGCCAATTCATGTGCTTAGCAAACTCGCCATATGTGAGTTAGATGTAACCATGCTATGTAAAATTTGTTTCATTAGTCCAAAATCTACCGAAAATGATCTAACTAATTAATCTTGAAGGTTCATTTTAATATCCTTTAGCTTTACTTTAGGAATTGAAATGGTTAAAGACAAAGAGTTTGTGTTCAAAATTGATAGTACAAAAAAAGGTTCGCTTTTGAGTCCGACCTGCCACGGGTCACCCCATGGCCCATGCAAAGAATGAAACACTAATCAAATGGTCTGATCGAGCTTCCGAAGCACTTCGATCATATTACGTAATGGTGAGTTTGAATTCCAAATTTATGATATTTGCATATATTCAAGGTTTCAAGGAGATGTTGTTTTGAATATCAATTTAACATTATTGAAGATCGTAATCTTGACATTCAAACAAGCTTGTGTGTTGAAGGTTTAGACCGCCACGATTTTATCACCATGTTTTAGTTAAAGCTTTTGTTTGTTTATGATATCCTTGCGTGCTTTCAAATCACGGATGACTATAAATGGTAACTATTCTCCCTAGTTAAACATAGTGTGTTTCGTCTTTGAGATATACAAGTGATATTTTTAGTACATGTTACCTTTTAGTAATGAAAAGGTTTTACATATAAAAAGATTATAGTTGCTTAATAAAAGCTTATTGTTTCATATAGCCCTAACCCACTCCAAATTTCAATTTTAATTAAATTATGTAGGTAAAAAATTGTATATAAAAGTTCCAAAGAAGTATACCGATTCAGCCCAATATATCGCCCATCTTACTTCACTGGTCGCAACTACACGACAATGTAACTAATGCTGGAGTAACAAAATTAATCATTTATTTGCACAAGATAAATTTAAAATAAAATATATATTGTGGGCCTACCCTACTCCTAACCGATTCCATACTGATTCCATTCACGTGCTTAGCAAACTCACCATATGTGAGTTAGATACAACAATGTTATATAAAATTGGGAAAGGGGTTAGATAGGCCCTCGAACTTAAATAAAAAGGTTAAATAAGTTTTTATATAGGAGGTTCTGTCCAACCATCGTCATTTGGGACAGATCACGTGTTTGCAATGATTTTACTGATTATATTAATGTGAAATTTAATTTATAACTTTCATACTTTTACAAAAAATATTTTGAAATAATAATATTTCCGTATAGTTTTCATATTTTTTATAGGACAAAAAGATCATTGGTGATAACTGTGATGTGATAAAAAACATCATTTTTATTATTTGATGATTAAGTTATTACGTAGTATTTAATAGGGTTAATTATTTTCTAAAATAGAAATGAAAATCATTATCTGAAATGTCCAGAAATGCAAGTGAGAAGCTCAAACTAGGCATTGATCAGGCCCGGCCGCCCAGACCGGGATTGGGCAAGACTGGTGTTTTTGGATGAAGGCCTGGTACCAGCCCGGGTTGGTACCGGAACCGGGTCGGGTCTAAGTTTTTTTTATTTTGGTTTTTCTTATTTATTCCTACCCACCCCCAAACCACCCAATCCCACCCGCCTAGCAGACGATGAATGCGAAAAAGAAAAAAAATGGACCAGGGCCAGTCCACCAAAAATGCATCCATAGCCCGCCCCTAATACCCCCGGTCCGGGGCCCCAGTCCCAGTCCCGATCGGCCGGGTCAGGCCAAACCGGTCCAGTCCATCCCTAGCTCAAACTGAGACCGAGCCAATACTTCTGATTATGTTTAAGTGGTTCAAGAACTTTAATTATGTGGTTCAAGAAGAGAACATCTCATAAAAATACAAAATTATTGCGCCCTTCACTTCAGGAATGAATTTCTCCCTTTTCGACCAAACACAAGAAAAGCCATGAAACATCATTTGAAGGAAAATATCTTTCTATAAACATACATCACGTTAGTTTTAAAAGTTTTTGTTGTCTAGCTTATCTGCTTTAAGATTCGTCAAATAAACAAGACTTGATGAAGCTCAATAGAGTGATGAAGCTTGTAGGCTTTGTAGCACTTTACCAAGTAGAAATTTGGATGATGGATTTACAAGATAGATATTTGATGGAGCATAAAAACCCTTTTTCATCACATCATAACATTCCGTAATTTCACAGAAACATTCCCTCAAGATATTCATCAAAATTATCATCGTCATTCTTGTTGGCATTGTTATGGTCCTTCACTGACGATGAAGTCTTAGATCCTACAAAAGTAGTCATTGTTAGTCAAATTAAAAGAAAAAACTAAATTGAAAGCTTTTTTTTAGTTATTTTCCCTTATTTTATTTATAAATTGGAAGCTTTTGTTCTCATACAAAACTTACTTGAATTGAGTTAAGGCTGGTTTGCAACAGCTTAAAAAAATCACTTCTCGGCTTTTGGCTTAAAAAGCACTTATTTATCAAACACTACTAATTTTTACTTTTCTCGTCTTTCGTGTGAAAAGTGTTTTTCCTTTTTCTATTACACAAAAAGCACTTATTTTACCAAACACTACCAACTTTACTTTTCAAAATCATTTTTTCCTCAAACAATATCAACTTTTACTGCTATTCACTTTTTCCAAATCACTCCAAAAGTGCTTTTTTAAGCAGAAGCAGTTGCAAACACTCCCTTTTTATAACTCAGTTTCTCCATTACACTCCATAATTTAGTTTTGTTTTTCATAACAAAATACACCCACTAAAAAGCGTTCAAAAATCAAACCTTTTTTAAATTCTCTCCGACTCTCATGGTCGTCATTTCTACATCTTTCCCTGGAAACAGTCAAAACTGTGAGATCTGCTCATCTGCATGGGATTTTTTCCAATACTGTAGAGATACCAATGAAAAAATAGCACCTTTTCCTTCCTTGGTCTTCTTTCATTTGTTCCTTCTCTTTCAGTCTCTTATAAAGAAGCTTCTCGGCACAACTTCAACATAATGAAGAAAAACCTGGTTAGCTATATAGTCACTAGAGGTATACTTGGATGATGGAATTTACTAAGGAAAAGAAAAAATGCAAACGGATATGAAATAGGATTGCTAAAAAATCACAAATGAGTTTAAACTTTAGACAGAAGTCTAAAATAAATTTATTGCATTTAGATCTTTATTTTATTTTGCCGCAAATATTTTTTTCCCTCCCTATTAATTGAGTTTGAACAGATGTCCAAAAGAAATTTATTGAGTTTGAATCTAGCTTTGATTAACCTCCCATTATTCTGTGCTTCCAATTTTCCTTCTCTAATTCTGGTTCCTAAATGGCTAAATGAGACCCTTGAAGATTTCATTCGAAAATAACATGTCAAGGGAATCACCTCTCACAAGCCACCAACTTCACAAGGGCCTGTTTGTTTTCTCCTGCTTCAACATATGAGAAGTTCACCTGAAAGACAGATCGATGAGATCCTTTGACGGAAAAAAGAAGCTTGGATGTATATAAAACTGGACAATGTGTGAGCAGAATGGTTGTTGAGTGATGATGATTTATACTGATTAATTAATTGGCTTAAAACAGGCATATACTAGCCTCATAGCTTGCTAGGCCATCTTTCTGGTTGCAATATTTATCTCCACATACAAACTGTCCTGAAACCAAGGGAGCTTACTAAGTCTCTGTGATTCGATAGTTGAGAAGCTACAATATATTAAGAACGTGTGTTTCAAAATTATTGTAACTCACCACCAAAATAAAAATGGGAATCTATATAGAAAGGGGATTGAAGGTATGAGTTATTCCAGACGTTGAACATTTCTTTCAAAATCATTGTCATTCACCACCAGGGGGGATCTTTATAGAAAGAGGACTGAAGGTACGAGTTATTCCTGACGTAGTTCACATTGTAAGTGCAACAAAAATGTATTGGAGCCTGTATGGTGGGGGCTAATTTTGGATATGATGGCTAGGTGACAAAGTGAACCAGAATTGAACAAGCTGAATTAGCTAACACATATTTAAAACAAACCTTTTATTACATTAAAGGAAATAACATATTCCCTGCGGTCCAGAATAAAGTTCTCACGTTCCTTTTTTATAAGGTCCAGAATAAAATCCCCACTTCTAATTTTGGCAAGTTTTTAATATAAAGTTACCCTGATACCTCCATACTTTATTTACCTACTTTACACCCACTTTCTCTCTCACTACATATAATCTACTTTTTATAAGGGCATACTGGGAAAATCAAAAGCAAAAAATCCACTTTCTTAAAAATCGTAAAGTGAAACTAAGAACTTCATTTAGGACAAGAGGGTTGAAGTGTTATGATTATTTCTCTTTCTTTCAGCCATGAAAGTAACTTACATAGTATTCTCTCTGTTTCATTTTGCAATGCACACTTTTTTAAAATTCGTCCATGTTAACTTTCACAAATTGAACATGACTAACTTTTTACTTTTTCTAGTTTACCCTTTCTTTTTTGAAAGGGTAAAGTACATAACACCTCCTTTATTGTTTTTAAAACCGTGTCAAATCCAAATGCACCCTACATTTTAGGGCGAAGGGAGCACTTCTTAATATTACACAGGATTAGCTATAGCTCATGCAGACAACACCGCCAAACAAGTTAATTTCAGTTATAGTTCTTAACGTTAAAAGCTTGTGAATATAAAAAATGTAATATGATTTGTATTTAAGACTTTAAGTACAGTCTGAAGCATTTATTAATTATTATGAAGAATGAAGATTATGACATCTACATTCTATAAAGAGATGGTAATTTTTTGACACATAGGACTAACAAGGACTTCTTAGAGCTACCAATAAACGGAGTAACTAACTACCTAAATTCAAGCAAGATGTTTGAGTTTACCTTTCCCAGATATTACTTCTTTCTCAGTTCTCCATCTTAGACCAATCTACAAAAAAAAAAAAAAGAGGAAAAATGATGAGCTTACAACCTAAAATTGTGCAAGAATAAGCTTAATGTTGTCCAACAATATTCATGAGAAACTAAAGTGTCAAGGGCAAGAGATTAAAAGGCCAATGTGCACAAAGAAAAAATACTATTGCTACACTTCAAATTCAAGTTCCAAAATCTTTGAAGGGGATATACCTTCCCGTTCTTGTAATGTGTCATATCAGCTATGCAATATCTTTGAATGATTAAGGAAATCGTAGAATAACCAACCAATGAATCCAGTGAATGGTGCAGCAGAAAATCACAAGCAACTTACTGAATCAGTGAAATAAAAAAGAATAAAGAAAAAGATGAGCAATCTGGGGTTTCCTTGCCATGGGAAAATGTGAGCGCAGAGGGTTGCAGCAGCGACCATTGTCGTTGGGTCAAGAATAGTTGGGAGTGGGCAGAAATGGGTGGCTGAATAAAGATGGATAGGTTACTAAGAAAGCGAGAATGGTCGTTCGCACACTTGGTCTTGAAGCAATCCCCACAACTGGGGCCATTGTTGAAGAGGGCTGTGCACAAAGCTCCATTGTTCACTCCATGTCCTGTACAGGTTTCCGTGGTGCCGGGACTGCTGGCTGGCGGTGGCAGCGGTCAGAGTGGAAGAAGAAGAAGAAAGCTAGCTGGAAGCCAAACATAAAAGTAGAGAAGATGAATAATCTGAAAATTAAGAAAGAAGAGGAAAGCTAAAGAAAGAAAGAGGAGGAATACAACAAAAATATTACCCGGGCACTACAAATAATAAGAGTGAAATTAAGTATTTTAATATTGTTCAATAATAGGGTTCTAGGCCCAATAACTTAATTGAGGGCTGACCCTTTTAGGAGAGTATTATTGTCAAAGGGGGGTAGGGGGGAGAATAACACAGGTAGAATTTTGATCGGGACTGGATTTTGGGAGTGCAAGACCACTCGAAGAGTCTCACCCCTTCTTCCGTTGTTTTCTGTTTTACTTCATTAATCTTCATTAATCAGTACTACAAATATCTACTGTGATTGTTCGGTTACCTCACCCTGTATCAGAGAAAGAGGAGGAATCATCATTTTCATTTCATCATTTTCATTTACCCCAGTGCCGCAAAGGCACCCACCTACGGTGGGGTGGGGGGGTCGGATGTACGCATAGAGAGACTGTTTCCGGATGACCCATAGTGAAAATCGCGTCCAAAATTGCATGGATTGACTGCTGCTTCATAACTAAGAAAGCAAAAATCAATAGAAAAATTGGGTCGGATTAGAGAGGAAGAATGAGACGAAAAATGAGTAAGAGGAGGAAGGCGAAAATTTTGAAGAGAAAAAGGAAAAGGAAAATGAAAAACCATGCAAGGACAAAGTGACGAACCACGTGGTAAGGTGACCTGTTGAAGCGGTTCATTCAGGCCACCGTCTTATTTTGAGAAAGTGCTCCTTGTATCATCACAGATAATCAAATGCATGTGGCATGTGCAGATAGAGTGACTTCCACTTGTGACATCATATGGTTATGATATTCTGGTGTATATTTTCTGACAAATTTCCAAAAGGATACTCCTTAAAAAGCTTGTCATAGTAGCGTCTCACTAGCCTTTGCTCCCAAGAATGATTCATATCATCCTCCTCAGTTCGTATAAACCTTAGAGAGATCAAGAGAGTACAAAACACATCAAACAAATACCCATTTGAGGCGATTGTTTTAAGTTGCATGATTTGAAAGAATTGTCAAGTATCAAATCTCTTTATATACAAACTAAACATTTAAGAGGACGAAAGATTACAAATCAGACTAAAAAAAACTTTAATAGACCATAATTTGAGCATACCGGTATCCTTCTCTAAGTGTGTCATTATCAGTTTTAATAGACAACACTTCACGGTTTGGTTTGTCCCTTCCATAAAAAACAGCTGCAAACAATTGATAGACTGTAAATCTCCAAGAGAATAACCAACCTTCTTGAGAAACTTAAATAGTACAACTTCATGCACAAGATAACAATGGTCAGGAAAATAACATGTGCATAGTATAATGCTGAAATACTCTGCCAGGAGACCACTTTTTTTGTATCATGAATGTCCAAAGTCAGGGTGAAGGAGGTATTGTGGTAGACGCGTGACGGTCAAGAATATGACTTTTTTACATCACATTTCATGTTCGTGGACCCCAAACTCTTTTGGGACTAGGGCTTGGATGTCGTTGTTATAGAGTGTAATGCTGAAAATGCAAACAGGTGACTAGGCATATTTCCGAGTAGTTGTAGCCTCTTTTTTAACTTAAAAGAGGGAAACTGTTCATTATTCATATGATGTAGGACACCAAGACTTTTTTGTATCATGAATGTCCAGAGCCAGGGTAACTAGGCATATTTCCGATTAATTGTAGCAAATGCAAATCTCACTTCTTGCACGTACTGGGTATACCCTTTGTTTCCGTCATTATACTTAAATTCATATTTATACCCATTGTAGTGAACTTGCTGAAAAACTATATTCACATTATAAAGGATATGTTTCCTTAAATTGTAGAACATCTAAATGTGGACGATTGAGATCTGCTGCAAACCCAGGCAATTGACTTATAAACAGACAATAAAAATTCATAAGTTACTTCAAAAGAATGCCAATTCACATATCATATTTTCATAAATTTGTGTGGTTGTTGTAGCCTTCCTTCAAAATGTAAAAATGGTTAAAGCAGGGGACAAGGAATCGCCCAAATGCTGAAGGAGTGAAGGACACCTGATCATAGAAACAGGCTAGAAACAGACGATAGGGTATTGTTTTGTAATTCGTGTCGATTACAAAATCAAAAATAAAGAAAAAAGACGCCACGATTACACCAATAAGATAGAGATCTCAGTTCCATCGCCATCAACAATATTTGTCTTCGGGCCAAGAATGAGAAAAAATCATTACTCTTAGCTCCCATACGACCAAATAGAAACAAAATAGATTTAAATTCCAACGTACTGTCGATCAAAGTAGAACTATCATATATAATTTGAGAGAGAAAACTACTAACCATAATCACTAACGAATTTCTTGTGCCGATCATACGCATTGAGACCTTGAATGTGAGCTTGGTATTGCCTGCAAGAGATCATTAATCATCCTCTCGGATACAGTAGTACGAACACATAAATCATTGATACATTGACGTAGAAAGTAAGACATACTGCTTTCTGGCTTCTCTGTCATAGATAGTCTGCCTGATGGATGCAAAAGAAGCCATTTTTTCTCTTGACAGAATCCCCAACCCTACCTATAACTTGCCTTACGCTATGTTTGGACGCGGGTTAGCCTTACGGGACAGGTTCGATTCCCGATCCCAATAGATGAATCAATTTTTCAGATATTTAAAAAGTGACTCTTATATTAAAATCGACAACAAGAGAAATAAACAGAATTTACAGATCCAATCGTGAATCCTAGGAGTAGACGCAAGGTTAGTAATCTCATACAAAGCAACATGACTAGTTAAAACATAAATAAGTGCTCTTAAACAGAAAATAATAATGAAATAAAATCTTTCCACAAAACTCTTCCTGATATGAAAGTGGTTCTGAAAGAGGACGACCAAGGCTTCATGATCCAGCCTCGATACAACCTCTCAGCCGCACCTCGTTCATCCGACAACGTTATCTCCTCCAACGTAGTTGTTATCCCAAGCGTTAAAACATTTCAAATCAATATAATTTGTCGCATCAACCTCATATTGATAGGGTCGGCAGAAAATCTCAACTCCTAAAGAGAGAGGAGACAGTCGTTAGGGCTCCTTTCTCTCTCTCTAGCTTATCCTTACCAGATGGAATCATTTGAAAAAATCAAATCTTAATAAAAACATTTAGCGTTTGAAATTACAAGAAATACAAATATATTTATCATAATTTTAAATCTGAAAAGTTGAGTTTAAAACATAAATGTATACCAAATTGAAAATTTTACCAAATAAAACAAAAAAACATATTCACTACAATCAATAATTCTGAACTTGAATCAACAACGTAATTAGCGAGTAAAAAAGTTCATTAATGTCAAAGGGTACGTCATGAGCAAAGCATTCAATTATAACCAACTAGGTCTCTAATAAGAGGCCTAAGAGCTTTAGAAAGCGCATTAAAATAATAGAAATTACCTCAAATATGAGAAAAACTATGACAAAAATAAAAAAAATAGGAAATCTTATGTTTTTATTCCAAAATAGGAGCATGTTACTCCTATTGGAAACATACCTATTTTTCATTTCATTCTTACCCCTCCTTTAAATATGTGTAAAAGGTAGTCAAAAGTCATAATTAAATGTTTCAATTCATAATCAATTCGTAAAAAATAATAAAAAATCGTAGAAAAATAATAAAAGATTAATAAAATAATTATTAAAAAAAAATAAAAAATAAAAAAATAGTAAAAATACATTAAAAATATGGATGCATTTCCCACCGCCTGTACTGCCTCCCTGCACCGCCACCTCCGATTTGTGTAAAAAATGTTTTCTCTGTAAATGCCAAAAAATGGCATATTACTCTTTGAGAATGTCAAAATTTTCATTGAATCTACCATAAATATGACATTCCTAATGCATGTGGCATTTTCCCCCCGATGACCAGAGGTGGTGCTGTTGGGGCGGCAGAGGCAGTTCTTTTTTGTGTTTTTTTTTCAACAAATAATTTTAAACAAGTAATAATTATTATTTAAATATTTTTATTAGTTTTTTTTAGTATTTTACGGGTTTTTATTGTTTTTTATTAATTTATTATGAGTTAGAACATTTCAATAGCTACAAGGATATACTCCGTATTTGTCCAGGACACACATAATTAGTCCTATGATACATAGTTTATTTTTTGGTCCTATTTGTGCAAACTGACCGGCTTTTAGTCCTATGAGCACAATTAACTCGTTTATAATAATAGTGTTAAATACTTAAATAACTAAACTAAAATAGTTAGTGTAGTATAAAAATAAATAAGTAAATATACATTAAAACATATATACTAATAAGAAATATATAAATTTTAATTATTATATATAGTGGTTCCTTAACGGTTCTAGGTACATATTTTTTTCAAGAACCGAGAACCGAACCGTTAATAAGAAATATTAACTGAATCATTAACTAGTACTCCCTCCGTCCCATAAAATTCTTCCCACTTTCTTTTTTGGGCCGTCCCAAAAAATTCTTCTCACTTACCATTTTTGGACAATTTGTGTGGTTCACATTCATTTCACCTTTTTCTTACACAACAACCATACATTTCCACTTTGTTCCACTTTCTTAATCTCCGTGCCAAGACAAAGTGGGAAGAATTTTATGGGACGGAGGGAGTAACTAATAAATGTTGGAACCGAACCGAACCGGTTCATAACGGTTCAGTTCGATTCGCTGATTCTTAGTTCCAAAGTCCTAGCCCTAAACATTTGTCTAGGAGACAATGAGACAAAAAAGGAAAGGTTAAATAAGTTTTTAGTGTAGTATTAACCGATAGTATTATGATCTTATCTAACACCTAAAATCTATCTTTTTTTGACACTCCAAATGTTTTTGACTTCTCTTTATTTAAAAATTGAAATTCTAATTCCTTTACGCCTCCCTTGCTACTACTATAGAGTTATATACCTCCTATGATTGGCATTTTGGACCGAAAACAAAAAAAAAACCAAAAAAAAACGAACCACATTTGGAAAAAATGAACCGGTGTACTTTGGGGCTTGAAAACCGAGACCCGCCAAAAAACGGTTTAAAGTCAGTTGTTGTACTCCAAAAATCAATTTGAACCCAACTAAATTGACAATTTGTATTAATTACTGTTATTATTTTGACTATTATTAATCGTTAGTATGTAGCCATAGTAATAGCTTAAGTCCAATTGTAAACAAGACACACATTGGTGAGCTTGTGTTGGAAAGTTGGACTGACGTGCGCTTAGTTGAAGTCTTGAGTTCAATTCTAGAGAGTGTAATTATTTTTTAAAATTTTCATTTTTCTTTCCAAACTGAAAGAAGAGAAGGGGTTCTCCTTCAGAAATATGTCACATATCTATATAAACTCGGGCTTGAAGATTGAATGGGCTTGATACTAATATTGTGAAGGCTTGCATTGGGCTTGGTTGTTGAATATTAGTTCAAAATTTTAATTTGGCTTGCTTTGGGTTTTGTAGTTGAATGTTAGTTCATTTTTATGGATCTTCGGGTTGATTCGGTTTCCGACAAACCGACCCAAATAATTGGTGCCCAGCAATGTGATACCTGGGCCGTCACCGGTTCAGTCTCGGTTATAACTTTTAGAGTACTGAAATATTAGTTCGTATTGGTTCGGGACCCGAACTCAGCGCTAATCCTTGCTTTGTCACATACTATTATGTTATCTTGCCCTACGACACTTCTGTTACTACCACTTTATTTTATTAACCATCTCATACAAGGTAAGTTTATGTCCTACACATACCTTCCTCTCCTTATTTGTGCATTCACTTCCTAACACTTTCATTACTAACACTAGGGGTGGGCACAAGTCTCTTATTTATCTATTAATTATTTCATTTTGAGAATTTAACTACAAAAACCTTAACATTCAATGATTATATGAGCTACTTATATTGTTAACATATTATAAGATCATTACAAAAACCGTGAATTTTAAATGTGTTTGTTGTTGTGTTTTCCCTCTTCTTGCTAGCCCACATAGAGTGAATTGAAAAAATATCATTTCATTGTAAGCATCAGATAAGGCCTCTGAGTCTTATGAGAACCTTGACCTACCCACATCAATGCAACACAAGGAACATTACTTGTGTGAAGTATCTATTCGACATACAAGTCACATGGGGCTTCTCTTCCCTTTAAAGGAGGTAATGCCTCTATGAGCTTTTGGTCATATAAAACCACTTACTATCCACGTGCACATATTTAAACATGGTGCCAGAGACTGGCTGTGTTGATAGTGAGTGTGAGACATTGTGTGAAATAACCGGCGGTCAAGTTTGACTCGGTAAAAAATGACTGGTTATGGCGGTACCCATTAAAGCCTATTATTCATATTTGACTCGGTATATTAAAGTTTTTGGGATTTGTCTGTGCTTTACCTTTATCTTTTTGTAAGTGCATCTGCATGTACATTTTGGTATATCCCACGATAGATATCACACTTCTTATGTTTTACCTCCAATCAAGTTCTATGTCTTTAACACGAGTAACATGTAGATTGATTGCTTTTTTACCTACCTATACAACTAGGTGTTTGTCAATGATAACGTGTACACCATCATTGTCTCTTTATTTTTGCCTTGTCCCAAATAGATGAGATACACATCACGTTATTTTGCTAATGCTGATTTCACTCCTCTTTGAGGTCAACATCTTTTGAGTTGATCAGAAGTTGCTTCAAGATTCGCTGCCTTGATTCATTTGGAAGTCTTATTTTTTGCAGAACATTTTCTAGAACTTCCATGTTATAGTATTTTTAGAACTTGTATCAGTTGTATGTTGTGTTGTTATTTCACGAGCTATTTATAGAGTTTTCAAGAGGCTAGCCTCCCTTGTCTAGGGAAATAAAGATGCCGCAACTATTTCACGGTTAAGCTTGAATCTTTACTTTCTCTTTTGTCTCCCTTAATATAAATGTGTTTGAAATGAAAAAAAATGACAATTGCATTGACATGTAATTTTACAAGATTATGAAGAATGCATAATAACTTATTAGGATATTTCACCTGAAAGACTCTAAACACACAAAAAAGTGAAAGTAGATCTTGAAGCAAGAAAATTCGTATTGTACACATAAACGGGGATTTGTAAAGAACACCATCTTCAAAATTATACTCCCTTCATCCCAATTTGATGACACCTTATTTCCTTTTAGGGATGTCCCAAATTGATAGCCACATTTCCCTTTTTGGCAAAAAAAAAGGGTGATGTGCAATTTCAATTTTAACCTTCTTATTATATCTATAATTTACAACCATACTCTTCTCCCCATTCTCCTGTACACATATGTCCATATCTCCCTCCTCAAAATCGTTGGTCTGATACTCTGATGTTCCTCTATCCCTGCCTCCTTAAATCGTTGGTCTCCCTCCTCAAGCTCCTTCTTAGAATATTTTTGCAAGATGCTAAGGATGTGGCGGCGGTGGCAAAAACGAGAACTCTCACTTTTAGTGGGTTATGAATGAAAGAATTGGGCTACGATGACCTAATTCTCTTGTACAATTTCATATTTTCCCACACGATTTATTTCCTCTTTTGTCCAATGTGGTGGATACACCAACGGGTAAGGATGCGAGGAGAAGGGCGTGAAAAAAAAACGATGCATAAACACCTACAAAGAA